TCAAGCGAACAGGGCATAGGGTTACAGCCTGTCTTGGATGGAGTTGCACTCCCTCTGAAGATGCAGGTTTGCAACTTGGGAGTTCTCCTGGATTCATTGTTGAACGTGGAACCCCAGGCCTCAGCAGTTGCACCCATGGGGTTTACTTTGAAGATTGTTTGGAAGCTTCAAATGGTCCAATGGGCAGAAGCCAGATTCCTCACTGGGGTAGCATACAGGGAGCGCACAACCCCCCTGTTACGTCAGTTCCACTTGCTGCCAGTCTGCTACCAAGCACAATTCAAAGTGCTGGCTTTAGCCTATAAAGCCCTAAACGGTTCCAGCCCAGCTTACCTGTATCTCTCTCTATGATCCACCTTGGAGATTAAGATCTTCTGGGGAGGCTCTATTCTCGGTCCCACCTATTTTGCAGGTGCAGGTGGTGGGGATGAAAGACAGGGCCTTCTCAGTGGTGGGCCTTTGGTGTTGAGACTTTGTGTTGCTGACTGGTCTGGGTCTTGACATTTGGCTTTGCAACTTCCTACTTAGTGAAATTAGAGCAGCCCCCTCCCTCCTGACCTTCAGGAATAAAGTCAAAATGTGGTTATGTGACCAAGCTTTTGCATAGCAAATTTCTAATGCAACAAGAAGATAAGTAATAGTGAACTGACAAATGGAACAGCTTTGGGTTATGATTTTGGATGGCGTGATTTTAATAATTGGTTTTAAATTGTGTTGTTTTAATGTTTCAGTTTTAATGAAACTGTTCATTTATTGTATGTTTGATTTTGCCATCAAATTGCTGCCTAATTTGTAAGGCCGCTCTGAGTCCCCTTTGGGGTTGAGAAAGGCGGAATATAAAAAGTAAATAAGTAAGGAAGTAAATAAATAAAATTGTATAGTTTTTTTCCTCTGCATTGTTTTAATAAATTACAAGTTGCCTTGAATATTGTTATTGGGGAAAAGCAGTATATAAATGGATCACAACAAATATTCAGCAGTTCTGTCATGAAAAAAGTAGTACTATTATAAGGTTTTTGGAGAGGGGTTGTATTTCTATCTATTTTTCCATGAATGTGCATTTTCTGCTCTTGCCATAAAATATTATAGTTTGTATATGAAAACAGCAGATTTAATTGATTGATTGGTTAAGTATTTATTATTATTGTTGTGTAACTATATGTCATTTCTGATTATGGAAATCTTAAGGTGAATCTATCATGAAGTTTTCTGATGCAGAGAGTATGTGCCCAAGATCACCTAGTGGGTTTTCGTGGCCCAATGGGGATTCATTCTCCAGAGTTTCAGTACAATACTCACTCCACTGTTCCTGCCGTGTATCACAAGATCGCAGGGTGACATATCAGTAAAAGAAAAATGAATAGATTACACTAATTTAAAGCAATAAAAATGATAAGTAATGTGAACTAGGCAATTTTCCAAAACCTAATCAATTTATTATGACAATTTTCGAGAGAAATCTACAGCAAATTAACTATTGTTGTCCCAAGTAATAGACAGTGGCAGCTAGTGGCTTCCAGAGAGATGGTGACTCCTTTAAACCTGAACTTTAAAGGAGCTGTCAAAGATGCTGAACACATTTTGGAACTTGGTTCCATAATCAAAACCAGGAACAGATTCACAATTTCACTGTAAGTTAATACTGGTTACTGATCCACTTATTTTGTTTCTTTTTTTTCAAATTGGGAGACATAGTTCATATTCCAGAAGACAGGAGTAGAATTCAAAATGATCTTAATAGATTAGAGAGATTGGCCAAAACTAACAAAATGAAGTTCAATGGGGACAAATGCGAGATACTCCACTTAGGCAGAAAAAATAAAATGCAAAGATACAGGATGTGGGACGCCTGGCTCGACAGCAGTCTGTGTGAAAAAGGTCTTGGCATCCTAGTGGAAGGGAAGTTGAACATGAGCCAACAATGTCATGCAGTGGCTAAAAAAGCCAATGGGATTTTGGCCTGCATCAATAGGAGTAGTGTCTAGATCCAGGGAAGTAATGCTACTCTTCTATTCTGCCTTGGTCAGACCACACCTGGAATCCTGTGTCCAATTCTGGGCACCACAATTGATGGGAGATGTTGACAAGGTGGAATGTGTCCAGAGGAGAGCGACTAAAATGATCAAGGGTCTGGAGAACAAGCCCTATGAATAGCGGCTTAAAGAGCTGGGCATGTTTAGCCTTCAAAAAAAGGCTGAGAGGAGACATGATTACCATGTATAAATATGTGAGGGGAAGTCATAGGGAGGAGGGAGTAGGCTTGTTTTCTGTTGCCCTGGAGACTAGGATGTGGAACAATAGCTTCAAACTACAAGAAAGGAGATTCTACCTGAACATTAGGAAGAACTTCCTAACTGTGAGAGCTGTTCAGCAGTAGATCTCTCTGCCCTGGAGTGTGGTGGAGGCTCCTTCTTTAAACAGAGGCTGGATGTCCATCTGTTGGGGGTGGTTTGAATGAGATTTTCATGCTTTTTGGCAGGGGGTTGGACTGAATGGCCCATGAAGTCTCTTCCAACTCTATGATTCTATGATTCTTTTCTTTTCTTTTCTTTTATTATTGATACATCCAATCATTTAACAGGCTTTGCAATACATACCTTATCTCACTATACATTGTTCCAAGTATCTCTTTGCAATATTAACGCTTCATATATTCCTTGGATGTGTATACCCTCCCCCCTATTTTCCCCCTTCCACCTGGAACAGCCATTCCAAATGATATCATTACATTGATTTAACCATGCGGAAAACCTGATTCTGAGTTCTATACCTATCATTTCCATCTGTTTTGTTGATTAAAATAGACAGTTTCCTATTCCAGTCTTGTTTTGTGTAACTATTCAGATACTTGCTTTTCCTTTGATTAATAAAATCATGAATTATGTATTCCGAAGGATAAAACTCTGAGCTTTTCTGGAGACTTCTGTGTCTGAAAGGAGGCACTGGAGTTGCCTGGAGACAGAAGTAAACAAAAGTACCGTATCTTGGTGACAGAACGTTAAGTCTTGTGAATCCGAGCTGCTACACTTCATGACAGATGGAGGAGGAAACATAATCTTGCAGAACTTGATTTTGCACTGAGAACAAAGTCCAAGAAGTTTATAATCAGGTACTGCTAGTTTTTCTTTGACATTTTTAACAAGTTACGAAGCAAAAGTAAAACAATAAACAAGCGCAGCTGAAAAACTACAGAAATGAGGAGGTGTTCTAAACTTGGAGTTGGGTTGTTGTGGGATGGAGAATAGTAAGGGAGCTAAGACAAAGCAAATGTGTCAAGTCAAGGTAAATGTTCAGTTTGTTGCTGTATAAATGATTCTCATGGATAAGATGCAATCATGTGCAGAAGAGGGAATAATAGTGGCTGGAAAGAAAACTGTGTTGCATGTTTGTTTTGTGAAACACTGCCAGAAAACTACCATTTATATTAATTGTTTCTGTTCTGCTTTTTTTGTGTGTTTCATGAAAATATAGCAGAAATAGGACAACATATTTATTTTTACTCAATTTCTCTAGCCCTAATAAACTGAAATTTTCAAACATGTTTTGCGATGTTGGATTTGGAAATCTCAATCAAACTTGTTAATTTTTTATATGTAGATTTGGCCCCTGGGGCCCCTGGTGGTGCAGCAGGTTAAATCACTAAGCTGCTGAACTTGCTGACCAAAAGGTTGGTGGTTTGAATCTGGGGAGTAGGGTGAGCTCCTGCTGTTAGCCCCAGCTTCTGCAAACCTAGCAAATGTGAGTAGATCAATAGGTGATGGCACTCCATGCAATCATGCAGGCCACATGACTTAGGAGACATCTACGGACAACACTGGCTCTTCAGCTTAGAAATGGAGATGAGCACCAGTCCCCTGAGTCAGACACAACTAGACTTAATGTCAAGGGGAAACCTTTACCTTTACCTTTTTAGACTTGGTCCCAAGTAGGCTTTGATTGTCTCGCTATAGACTAAATGTTAACTACATTTTGCATCATTCATATAAGTATCAAATATATGCCAGGTGTTTAAAAATGTAGGCTAAGTGCCAATTTTATCCCATTTCATGTAATTGTACATATGTTTCCCAGCAATCGGGGCCTAAACCCTTTCCTATTAGATTCAGGCCCCATCTACACTGCCTTATATCACAGTTTGAACTGCATTATAATGGTCAGTGAGTAGAGTGATATAATGCAGATTGAACTGTAGTGAAATGGATTTTATAAGTCTGCATTGCCATATGATAACCTGTATTCTGAAACTGCATTATGTGGCAGTGTAGATGGGGCCTCAGAGTCAAGAGGGAGATTTCAGGGCAAGACAGCTGCCTTGAAAAGAAAATTAAGTGTTCTTCCAAATGTTAAAAATTAAACATTAATTTTATTTAACGTGTTTCAGGTTTTTTTTCCGTGTCAGGAGCGACTTGAGAAACAGCAAGTTGCTTCTGGAGTGAGAGAATTGTCAATCTGCAAAGACATTGCCCAGGGGACACCTGGATGTTTTGATGTTTTACCATCGTTGTGGGAGGCTTCTCTCATGTCCCCTCATGGGAAGCTGGAGCTGACAGAGGGAGCTCATCTGCACTCTCCCTGGATTCAAACCTGCGACCTGTTGGTCTTAAGTCCTGCCAGCACAAGGGTTTTTTAACCCATTGCATCACGGGGGGGTCCTTTCAGATGTTATAAGGATAGGAAAATATATGGCTTTAATGAACCTGCCTTTAAGGGGTAAAGATATATTTGGGGGGCAGGGGAGGAGTAGTGTTGTTTGGTTAAAGTAGCTACCTTTTGGGAAAATCCAAAGGACAATGTTTGTAGGAGTTTATTTTTTTATAAATACAGTTAGGCCCATGAGATAATTATACCAGCATTCAACCTCATTACAGCCTCTTCTGTTATATAGATAAACATGGGGTCGGGATTGCCAGATATCTAACAATATTGCTAAAAATCAGATTTGATTCTCCATCCGTTGTGTAAATTAAAGATCACCATAATGTTGTGTTTTTCTAAGTCATGCCCTTTCAAGAACCATCGAGATGGAATGGTGACCTCACGGCATTACCTTGGAAACCATGATGCAAGTTCTAAGCATCTTTCAAACTTGGATAACAGCCTGAGACCTTGAGTTCAAAACTGTGCCTATCCTGATGCGTGGCCAAAACGATATCTTCTTGGCTTGAGGTAAAACAAACTCATTAAGCTAATTTCTGACTCTTAATTTTTCATTTGCATGATATTGGTTGAATTTGAACTATAGTCATATGTATTATTTTAAATCAGGGATGAGCAGCTGTGGCTCATAGTTTCTCGCTATTGCCTCCGTAGATCAGGGCTGATGGGGACTGTAGGTCAAAACATTTCACAATTGAAAAACACATTTTAAATATTTTTATAAGTATTTCTATATAATACCTATGAGAAATGTGGAAAAGGGTTGCAGAATATTGAATTATGTTTTTTTTCTTTTTCCCTGTGTTTTTGTTGTTGTTCACATGATATCAAGAATAGTAATGGGTTGAAAAACATTGGTAACAGTTACTGGCACCTGTTTATAGAGCACCATCTACATCAGACATCGGCAAACTTCAGCCCTCCAGGTGTTTTGGACTTCAGCGCCCACAATTCCTAACAGCCTAGCGGCTGTTAGGAATTATAGCCGTTGAAGTCCAAAACACCCAGAGGGCCAAAGTTTGCCCATGCCTGATCTACATAGATGGCAGTATATAAATAAACCAAAATGTTAGACCAGGGGTCCTCAAACTTTTTAAACAGAGGGCCAGGTCACAGTATTTCAAACTGTTGGGGGGCCAGGTTATAATTTGAAAAAAAGAACATGAATTCCTATGCACACGGCACATATCTTATTTGTAGTGCAAAAAACACTTTAAACAATACAATAATTAAAATGAAGAACAATTTTAACAAATATAAACTTAATAGTATTTCAATGGGAAGCGTGGGCCTGCTTTTGACTGATGAGATAGGGTTGTTGTTGTGTGCTTTCAAGTCATTTCAGACTTAGGTTGACCCCGTGTGAGGGCTGGGTAAATGACCTTGGAGGGCCGCATCCGGCCCCCGGGCCTTAGTTTGAGGACCTCTGTGTTATTATGTGTAAATAACTTTGCACCAACATAATGCCATCTAGTTTGGAGAGTACAACTCTTGCCTGAATACAGATCTCATCATCCCTATCTAGGATATGAAATAAAAGGGGGATTTACAGCATACCAGATGGAAGAAAACAGTTTATGAACTGTGGTCCTTGTTGGTGCTCCAGATGTTTTGGATTTCATCTCCTAGAAACCATGATAATTGACCAAGTTGTCTATAGCTTATGGGAGGCAAAGTTCACCCCCCCCCCCCAAGAAATAAACTTTGACATAGTAGAATGCCCCTTGTCCAGAAAGTTTATTATTTAAGGCTTGTGATCTAGTTGGCAATTCATTTCCCATCACCTTATGAGCAGATGTCATATAGAAATATGTACTATCAAGGAGTTTCCATGTAGCATTCATGTTATAACAAAGGCTTTAGTTTCCTTTAAAATTAATGGAAGTTTAACCTTAGTATGCTGTACCACCAAAAGCCAAAGGAATTATAAGTTTGGAAAATATATTAAGACACACATTCAACCCCCTCTTACCTAAGATCTTATTATATGAATTCATCTTATACTTTCTATCTTCCAGTGTATCCTACATAAACAAAATAAGTATTGTTTGTTTTGGAGAGATTATTTATTTTGATTTTTAAGAAAGCCATCCATTAATTTGATATTAAGTTTTCTGCAATAAGTTGTATTTTTTGTTAAAATCCAAAAACGTTGATTAACAATATTTTCTGGCCTTTACTGCAGGTAATACTTATGAAAAAAGATGTCAGCAGAGAATACAGAGCTGGTTAAACAACTTGACAGGTAAGTCAGATATACGTTAGCTTTTCAATTATCAGGAGTTAGAATTAATTTGGCAGAAAAGGCCGACTTTGTCATCATGGCCACCATTACATAGAATGCATTGCCAGGAGGAGTATGGACTATTTATTTAAACTCAAGTAACCATTTCACTTTTCTTTAGGGCACATAATCCATAAGCAACATAAAGAAAGTTCCATCTGCCATGCCATCTGATGCTTAGTTCTTGCCAGACCATGTTTTTGCATCCAAAACTATAATTTACTTCTTATAAAAAACTTCATGTTGTTCCAAGGTATTTTTCTGCCTGAGGCACATTAGCCAAACCCACAATTCCCACCTCAGTCAACAATGTGTGTTGTATCCAATCCTTAGCATGTTGTTTTGCCAAATTGGGAAGGAAATTCCACAAGAACATTTTACTATCCTTGGGAGTAAGAAATAAACTTAATTTAGTGGGCTGCTGTGAGTTTTCTGGGCTATATGGCCATGTACAGAAGCATTCTCTCCTGACATTTCACCCACACCTATGGCAGGCATTCTCAGAGGTTGTGAGAACCTACCTAACATAAAGGCTTGGCTCGAAATATATGCACAGCATCCTCCATTTTTACAGGTACCTCATTCACTTCACCTCAAAAATGGGTTGGGGAAGGGATTTTGTATTTGATCACCCTTTTCCTATTTATCTGTTTTCCAAAAAAATACTTCTATCAGTGTTTCCATCAACTTTGACTAAATATGCAATGCAGCAAGTCTTCAATGTTCTTATATTCCTGTTGCAATAATTTTTTGGTTTTTTGGTAAGTAATGTCATATTTTATGTCCCCTTTTAAGCCCTTTTTCCACTTCAGAGTTCACATCCATACAAAATATATGGTAGCTTCCTTAACATCTCTCTGCACTTCTTTGTCAGTATGACATATTCTAGTAGAAACATGTCTGGTTAAAATTTGAAATTTTCAGCATAATGAAAACCCTTTGCACAGATCTTAAGGCCATCCTAGAAGCAGTATGCGACAGGAAGACATTAATGATAGCATGGTTTCAGATAGGTAGCAGTGAATGCAAGGAGGAGAGAGAGCTGAGCTAAATAAAAGTGCGGACTTTAAACAATCATTCAAGATTGCTTTTGGGCTGCAAGGTCATTGCAGCAGGTTATCATTTGCATTTTCCTTGGACAGAGATTTCATAAAGCCAACAAGTATAAATGATTTATCATCCACTTTTTGGATTCATTTTGACTGATGCCCTCACACTTCTCCCAAGGGAGAGTAATTAGTACAATCAAGCAAATAGACAAGTGTCTTGTGACAACTTGTAGAACATCGGATTTACTATGTCTGCAGCTGTTATGAATACAGATGCCATAATAAAATGGTTGATCTTTTTAAAAAAATTGTTGAAATAGGCATACAATATATATGTTTGTTGCGTACAATGTTATATTTTCCTGCTGTTGATAATTCACGAATATTTCTCATACAGTGTCTTTATTTAAGGAGCCTCTGACTTCATAAATTCTAAGTTGGTTATGAATTCCTCTTTGTCTACAGTCTTATAGGATCCCCTGTATGTATTTTTAGGTAAAGGTAAAGATTTCCCCTGACGTTAAGTCTAATCACGTCCGACTCTGGGGGTTGGTGCTCATCTCCATTTTAAGCCGAAGAGCTGGCGAAGAGCTAGGTCATGTGGAGCACTGTTACTTTCCTGCAGAAGCTGTACCTATTGTTCTACTCACACTTACATGTTTTCAAACTGCTAGGTTGGCAGAAGCTGGGACTAACAGTGGGAACTCACCCCACTCCCCGGATTTGAACTGCCAACCTTTCAGTCAGCCAACGGTTTAACCCGGTGCTCCACCAAGGGCCCCGGGTGTACTTTTAAATCTAATTTAATTTTTCTTTTATATTGAGTTGTTGGATTGCTGGCTGCCATTCTTTAACAAAATCTTTTAATTGCTCTCCTCTTAATAGTGAGGCTATTTTCCCATTATCAGCAATTCAATTATGTATTCTTCTATATCAGGTACCTTTGGGGTTTTCCAGTGTCTGGCATACACTATTCATGCTGCCATTGTCATGTAGAATATTTTTTTCCAAATTTATTTTCTAATTCTTTATCTGGCAGGTTCAAAAGATACATTTGTGGTGTCATTGCAAAGTTCGTATTTAGCATCTTTTAAAGATATAAGTGAATCTGTTTCCAATAGTTGCTTGCTTTATTGCATGTTCACCACATGTCATAAAATGTGCCTTTTTTGTTTCTGCATTTCCAACATTTGTCAGTGCAGTTGTAGATCTTTGCTAATCTCTAAGGAAGGAGATACCAACGCAGATGCATTTTATAGACATTTTCTTTTAGATTTTGGCATGCTGTATATTCCATTCTTCCCTTCCATGTCCTTTCCCATTGGGCTATTTTAATCTCCTGATCAGCATTTTGAGCCCATCTAATCACAGAGTCTTTTATTATTTCCTCTTCTGTGTACCAGGTCAATAGATTTTTGTATCTGGATGATAAAAGTCCTTTTGGTTTTGGGAGTATGGCCACATCAAACCATGTTTTGGCAGTTAAAATGCTTGATCTTTAAGGTGCTGCAGCACTCTGTTTTTGGTGGCAGCTGACTCATATGGCTAACCTTATGGAGGTTTTTACAAGTAGACAATACAAATAAGTTATTTGTTTGGAAAGCAATAAAGCATTTGGGCAGTTAGAATGTGTGCCTGATAAGAGAACCAGATAGTGGTTCTCTTATCTGGTGAGCTATCTCTTGAAAGAGATAGCTCATCTTTCCAGATGTTGAAGTCATTCATTTGCATTTACTTCCTGCAGCACTAAAATACACACACACACACACACACACACACACACACCAGTTTGACAGGATTTCAGAGCTCATGAAATCACGTCTCTATTCTCAGGATTTGGGGAATGATGTAAACATGGCATATATCTAGGTCTAACTCATTTTAATAACTCCTTTTGTTTTCTTGAACAGAAATAACTGAATAGGCATCACAAATAATTTGTTTTATGGCAATCCAACTGCAATTGGGATATGCTGGAATGAAATTATACAAGGCATACAGTCTCCAACCACATTAAGAGCTCCTTCCTTTAATGTGATGTTAGGATCAGGGCCCCTGAAAAATTTATATGATTTGGCACAGTTCTTTTAGTCTGAAGCCATCCCCATGGACAGACAGATGATGACGGCATGTTTACAGAAAGGCACAATTTATTAGGACTATTAGCATTCATTGTTTCAGTTACAGATCCAGACATACATATTATGGATGCCTCATCATATTTTGCTAATAAAGTATCAAGCCAATGTGATTTATGCTCCCTTGGAGATTAAACATTAGATGCTGCTTGCTGAAATGACTGTTCTAAAAAAAGCTCTTTAGCTAGTTGGAGTCATTTTCAAAAGGAATTTGCATTCCAATTTTCAAGCAGCTTGTTATTTAAAACAATCTAATATATTGCATAGTTTGATTAAAAGTCCCAGCCTTTATTGTATCATTTGTCTTTGCTTTTTTCCGCACCAAGGTGCACCCCTCTTTCTTTGCTCAACATCTTCACGCAGGGTACAGTGGTGCAGTATTTGTTCCAAACTGAGTAACAGCATGGTCAGAGTTCGCCTTTTGTTCATTTGGCTGGTTTTCTGGCTACCCTGGTGTTGTCAAAAAAGAGGAAAATTGCCACCCAAGAAATGATGAAAAACAAAATATGCTAAACGATATGTCTATCTGCCAATCTAAAAATAATTATTATAATTAAAGTAGAAATGCAACATATGCAGTTTGGTGAGGACAATTTACCAGGCCAGCTGATTGCCTACTTAGACTACTCCCAAGGTGACAATGGTGGCTGGGCAATTTTAAGGTCCTAGCTTTCTTTTAAGGAGCCCCCAGTGGCACAGCGGGTTAAACAGCTGAGCTGCTGAACTTGCTGACCAAATGGTCAGCGGTTCAAATCTGAGGAGCAGGCTGAGCTCCCACTGTTAGCCCCAGCCTCTGCCAATCTAGCAGTTTGAAAACATGCAAATGTAAATCAATAGGTACATCTCTGGTGGGAAGGTGATTGCGCTCCATGCAGTCATGCTGGCCACATGACCTTAGAGGTGTCTACAGACAATGTCGGCTCTTCAGCTTAGAAACTGAGATGAGCATCACCCCCACCCCCAGAGTTGGACATGACTGCACTTAATGTCAAGGGGAAACCTTTATGTTTCTTACTTAAACAAAATAGTCTTTCTAACAGGAGACTTTCCTCATCACAGCTCTTTTAGTAGAGCATTATTGTGATTCTGAGTTTACGAGAAAATGGAAGTTATCAAAGCAAATTCAGACAACAAAGGATCCATATTGAAAGTTTATTCATGTGTTACATGAAAGAAAGCTATAGTTATAGTTGCATATTGGCTCATTTAACATCACTGGCAACACAATCAATACACACGTTTGTGAACCTTCATTGGCTTTTGTAAATTAATTCAAATGTTTTATGTTCATGTTTTAAATTTGTTATAATTTTTGACAGGTTATGTTATTATTTAATTTATAGATGTCATGTTTCAGCTGTTGTCTTATGTGGGGCTATGTTGGGTTATTATATTTGTACTTGTTGTTATTGAGGCATTGACTGTTTGCCTTTGTGTTTGTTGGTATCCGCCATGAGTCCCCCAGGGGAGATAGAGCGGAGAATAAATTAAGTGTTATTATTATTTTATATTATTATTATTATTATTATTATTATTATTATTATTATTATTAGACATAAAGAAAAAGCCTCAGTATCTTTTGAAAACTTTTTTTCAAACTCCCGACTCAATCACCAGTGTAATATCCATGTTGTCTGTTATGAACATTTATTTCTATAGCATGTTATTAATTTTTAAATCTATGTTCCTTTTTCAGGCTATTCACAGTGCATCTTTCTTAGCTATAAGTCACAATTAAGAGAGAAAGAAATGAAGGCACAAAAAGCTATCTTACACTGTATCAGACTATGTCTAGTTCAGTAACATCTACATCAAGGATGGGAATCATGAAGCACCTCGGGCATAGTTGCACTACAATGCCCAACATTCCTCACAATTGGCTATGCTGCCTAGAGATGCCTGGGGGTCACAATTCAACAACATTTGGATGGCTGAATGATTCCAAACTGTGCTCTATTGGTTGCATACGGACTATCATGACCCGATGGGCCTTGGCTCATACTATACTGTAATTTAATTGTTTCCTTCATTCATGAGCAAGAGAGTATGATACAACTAGCAACAATTGTTTGTCAGAAAGAGTGCTCATCACCTGCAGCATTTTAGCATTTGGTTCCTTTTGGACATCAAATTGGTTTTCTTCTTGCAGTCTTTTTGCAACACTGTTTGGAATTGCATCAGGGATAATGAGATGTACCGTTCATTATCCATTACAACAGCTGTGTTCTAAATTGGTTTCCCAATAGACCATATACTTTATCTAAAGGACCAGATGCCGGCTTATGTTAAAATTTATGCTATATTTAGTCCTCGTGTTGATTCTGGGATAAAATATTAATTCTAAAGTAGATAGAGCTTCCAATGAAAAAAGTTACTTATGTACCACTATCACAAGAAAAAACAACAACTATAACACATCCTGAATTGGGACAAAGATTTATCACGACTCCCACACAAACACAGGCATTGCTTCTTTGTAATACAATGTTTCATTTTAATATATTAAAATCTGAGTTTGCTCTTGACTAGCACTGGTGCTAAATTTATGAGAAAAATACAGGCTAGTGAATAATTTCAATTTGCATCTGGGCAAATAGCGATTTGAAATGTTTCTGAGTTACTTTTTAATACACTCTCCTCAGCTTTCCCAAAGTGCACTGGATGCATGGCAACAACTATTCAGCATTTTTCTCAGATGTAGCTGCATCAGGCAAAGGAATGTGTATCCATCATGCATTTCAGTTATGAACTGCTTTTCAGATTGTTCCATCAATTAAGATTTGAATTGACAAAATAAATAAATTCCCAGAATGAAGCACGCATTGTGGAAATATGCATTTTGATTTTGATTTGACAATTTTTTTCATTCTGGTTGCAAGGAGCTGTGTGATTCCAGGTATTCCAAGTAGGTGAAAAACTTGTTGCTAATTATTTTAGTATTGGAACAAGATTCTATTTTGTCTGATACCTGAAAGTCCTTCATCACAAAGGCCCATTGTGGCAAATCCATGGGCTTCCTGCAGGGGGTGTGGAGAAGCTGTCACTCCATGCCCAGCATGACTTGCCTTTCGTCCATCCCATTGGGGGAGGCATCACTGTTGGTTTTCCCTCATTGCTGGTAAGACAACATGGGGGAGGCTCCCATGTTGCCACAGCGGTAGCATACCGGAAGTACACATGTGTCACAATCCTTTCAGGATGGGCTCCATCCTGAAAGGGGAGAACAAGCTGCGTAGGATGGGCCAAGTAGCCCGTCTGATGAGGTTGTCAGTCTATTTGTGTGGCAACAGATTTTTTTTTTGCTGTCTTTGTTCAATCTAAGCATGAACATGGAAAGAAAGAGACAAGCTTAAGATGAGGTATATTGTGGTGACAGAACAACAGACAATGAGAAATTGCAACTGGATTGCACTCCCATTTCCAACATAACAGATAAATTAATCAATTTCTAATATAAAATATAATTTAATTGATTTTATGTAGTTTGTTCCTGCCTCTGGTCATGGTAGTAAATAGTTCGTATTTAGGTCTTATCCTTTTAACTTATTCCTTCTTGGACAGGATTCCCAGTCAGCCTTTCCTGCCTGCAATTCCAAATGTTTCTGGAAGCAGAGTGGATGCCCTCGAAGACCGGCTGTCCAACCAGGAGAGGACTACCACCGTTCTTCTGGATCAGGCCTTCCGAATCAAGGACGGCATTGTTTCTTACCTTCAGGGAAATAAAGGCTTTCAGCAGGGAGAGTCAACAGCACGACAACTACTGGAGAACCACATACAGACTATCACAAGCATAGTGAAAAAGCTGAGCCATGATATAGAGGTACTGTTTCAGTTGTGTTTAGTATCACTGGCAATTTGTTAAACCTCTAGTTTATTCAGGATGAGTGTGTTTTCCAGCTGGGTTTGCTTAATATTAAGTTACTTATAAAATATGTATAGCTTTGATCTCCCCAGGAGGCTGCAAGTCTAGCCAGCTAGCTGTCAGCATCTGTCTTATGTCCTGAATGCAAAGTATCTGGGAGTCTCAGGCAAATCCTCCAAGGATGGATTCTGACTTGTGGCACAGGATCCTTACCATACCCCCACATTAACAACAGCATCAGAGAGTGGAGTTAGAATATCTTGATTCACACATAACTTGTGCCTAAATCTGCTATAGCGTACAGATGTATTCTGAACTGATACCATTAACTTGTTTAGCTCAATGGCAATCAAGAAATTTAATTTCAAAACCATTTTCTTTGTCTTTGAAATACAAGGGACTATGCTCTGAAGCTGTTTTAGTAATAATCTTTTCAACCATTCAATGATAATTCTAAAGTCAAACTAGACATTAGGGCAAATGCATATTGCCAATAGTTGGTTCATTTTCCCTCTAATGATGGCATTTCCTCAGAGATACAAGCTTGAGCAATCAGACTTGCAAATGACACCAGTGTCTGCCTTCCAATCACAAAACAAAGCAAGCTGAATTAATATTACGAAAGTGAGGGCATCATGACACACAGAGGTCTTTCCATGCTTGAGGATAAAGAACAAGAGCTGGGGGGGGGGGACTTTATTGCTATTTCATCAATGTCATATATACAGTAGAGTCTTGCTTATCCAACATAAACGGGTCAGCAGAATGTTGGATAAGCAAAAATGTTGGATAATAAGGAGGGATTAAGGAAAAGCCCATTAAACATCAAATTACATTATGATTTTATAAATTAAGCACCAAAACATCATGTTTCACAACAAATCGACAGAAAAAGTAGATCAATACACAGTAATGTTATGTAGTAATTACTGTATTTACAGATTTAGCACCAAAACATCACAATGTATCGAAACAGCTGTGGATCCAGGTGGGCGGCAGACTGTGTTGGATAATACAGAATGTTGGATGAGCGAAGATTGGATAAGCGAGACTCTATTGTATAGTCATATGTATAAAAAGCAATTGAATAAAAATACACAGAAACCAAAGTTAAAATATTTGAAACATATCTAAGTTTCATTCTCAAACATTTAAAAGGTACAAAGGGTTTAGGAACTAAAAGCCAGAAATCCCAATGAATCTGAATAACATGCTAAAATAAAACAACCACACAATTCTCCACACATCAGTGATGACAACAGTTTCAACATAATACCATTCCCGCCCTCACTATGGGGGCAGGGAAGCGCTTTGCTCCCTTCCAGTGAAGGGAAGACAAAGAGTTAAAAAGTCCCAGCCAGGACTTGTTGTGGGCAGGGCCTAGAGAAGTGAGCCTAGCCCACCTCACTTGGCCTGAAGAAGTTGACCCACCCACCACCGTTGCAGTGTACTTGTCAAGGGTTGCCATTAGGGGCTGAGTAGGAATGTTTTCCCCTCCATGTTCGGTGGGGGGGGGGGGGTATTGCCTACCTTACATGAGCCTTTGGGCAAATTGGGTTGAGGAGGTCTTAAATAGGAGTCAAATGTATGGCAGGCATATGCAGGTACTGGTGTGCACCACAGAAAGGGTGAGTACACTATAGTCTCTACCCGTTACCTGGAGAGTCCCCATGGGAGCAACATGTGAATTGCATCCTGGAATTATGGTGCCTTGCCCTTGTCGGAGGATGATGTGGTCATGCGGGGTCACCGCCTCATCTGATTAATAGCAAATTCAAGTTCAAATTCACATTCAAGTTATGTTGAATCATAAATTGGATTGGATGATCACACAGAGATTGATTGGTAACATATAATAAAAGTTGTTCATAGTTAACCCACAACATGGTGTTGTCTGGTGATTTATATTCCGCCCTTCTCATCCCAAAGGGGACTCAGGGCGGAACACAACATATAAATTGCAAACATTCAATGCTGGGACATAATAGACTATACACATACATAAATAGTAAAAGCATTTATCTTGACATTATTATTATTATTATTATTATTATTATTATTATTATTATCTTTATTTATACCCCGCAAAACCTCCCGAAAGACTCAATGCGGCTTACAAAGGCCAAGGCCGCCGACAACAACAACATACAATACACAATAAACTCATAAGCAAATAATAAAACATCAAGCAAAACAATAAAGCAATGACACTGTGACGCAATTTAAAACCAAGGCCGGGCCAAATGTAATGGACAACGTTTAAAAAGTGCTGTTGTGACAGGTAATATGTAGAGGTATTTGGGTAGGTACAATGTGCAGATAATCCTAAATCTCTAGCAAGATGTATTTGGGACTTGAAACCAGGAGTTTCCTATTCTGGAAAGGCACACTGGAACAGCCAGGTCTTCAGGCGCTTCCTAAAGACAGCCAAAATTGGGGTTTGTCTAATGTCCTTGGGGAGAGAGTTCCAGAGTCGGGGGGCTACCACAGAGAAGGCCCTATCCCTCGTCCCCACCAAACGCGCCTGCGACGCAGGTGGGATCGAGAGCAGGGCCTCTCCAGATGATCGGAGGGAGCGTGCGGGTTCGTAAATAGAGATGCAGTCACGCAGGTAGGCAGGTCCCAAACAGTTTAGGACTTTGTAGGTAAGCACCTGCACCTTGAATTGGGACCGGAAAATGAACGGCAGCCAATGGAGCTCCTTGAACAGCCATGGGCTTGAACATTAAAATCCACTGTTATTACAAAACAAGCAACTTTCCCAAACTTTGGTATGCACACAAACATAAACCCACAAACACAGTCCAAAAGTTTTAAAAGTCCAGTATTCCACCCTTTTGTCTTGTGCAAAATGTGGAGAATTGCTTTAATTGTGCTCCCAGAGAAGGCCTTTAATGTACTATCACCCAGCCATATTAAAAGCATTTTATATATTTCACTATTTGTAATGATCCATGTTTTCCCCTGATCCTTTAATATCCATTAAGGAGAAAAAATACGAAAGAGCTGTGCAATGCCATTGGATTTGCCATGCTAGGAACATCACAATCATACCTCTGGTCTTTCCCAGATTAATTCTGGTTTTGATTCTCATTCTCTTTGCTTCACTGTCCTTCCTGGTGAACGAGAAAATAGAAGCAGTGGGAAGCTTTCTATCCATTGTAGCCAGTAGTCAGACATCCACAAGTCTAGAGATTTATTTCTCTCACATACACGTACATCAGCTTTTAAAAATCCCATCACAGTAATGAAATACTTCCTTTCTCAGAGGTGGTTTTCAGTCAGCTGCACAGGGCTAGAAGGCTGACATAACAGCCATGAATAATTTGGGGTCTTGGCAAAGGAAGTCACTGGGGAGAGTGTACATTAACAGCCCATATTCAGAGTCACCATGAGTATACATTACTGAGATGCAGCATGAGGAGAAGTGCTGTAAAATTATAATGGATTTCTCTGCTTGGGAAACAGCAAGACAAACACATCAACACTGACTTTATAGAAATAGCATTAGTGAGGCAAGATGCATTTTAGTGTGGGTTTGAAATTACACAGAGTAACATAATTAAGGTTTTAAAGGAGTCTTAGTATTATTAAAGAATTATTAAATAAAAACCTATTCATCTTAAAGCTGCTGCCACATTTCTTTTTCTTTGGTTCCCTTTTCTCATTCCCTTTAACATTATTAGCTCAATTACATTTCTGTAATAATAATCGCTTAGAAAAAGTGGAATACGAAAAAGAAAATAAGTTTTTCTTCTCCCACTCCCTTGGATGTTGAGAGAGAAGACCAATCCTGGGGTGACCAATGCATGGTCCAATTGAGGGCTCTTCCACGCAGCCCTCTATCCCAGAATATCAAGGCAGAAAATCCCACATTATCTGAATGTGGACTCAGATAATCCAGCTCAAAGCAGATGTTTTGGGATTTTGTACCTTGTTATTCTGGGATATAGGGCTGTGTGGATGTAGTGGCAGAACTTTGGAGTATCTTTAGACCAGACCTTAGAAAACCTACTTGTTTCATGGACTCATATTCATAGAGTTGGAAGAGACCCCATGGGCCATCCAGTCCAACGCCCTGCCAAGAAGCAGGAAAATCGCTTTCAAAGCACCCCTGACAGATGGCCATCCAGCCTCTGTTTAAAAGCCTCCAAAGAAGGAGCCTCCAGCAAACTCCAGGGCAGAGAGTTCCATTGCTGAACGGCTCTCACAGTTAGGAAGTTCTTCCTAATGTTCAGGTGGAATCTCCTGTCCTGTAGTTTGAAGACATTATTCTGCATCCTAGTCTCCAGGGCAGCAGAAACCAAGCTTGCTCCCTCTTCCCTATCTTCCCTATGACTTCCTCTCACATTTTTATACATGGTCATCATGTCTCCTCTCAGCCTTTTCTTCTGCAGGCTAAACATGCCCAGCTCTTTCAGCTGCTCCTCATAGGACTTGTTCTCCAGACCCTTGATCATTTTAGTTGCTTTTCTTTAGACACATTCCAGCTTGTCAACATCTCCCTTCAAAACTGGACACAGAATTCAACTACAGATCCCATAATGTTTCAGTTTGCATCGCTGCTGGCCATACTAGTTGGGGGATTCATGAAATTATTTATTTACTGTATTTGTTTATTGTATTTACATCCCACATTTTTCTTGATGTATGACCCAAGACAGCTTGCAAATTTATGCAGTATCCACAAATTCAGTATCCATGACTTCAACCATCCATGGCTTGAAAATATATATATTTTTTTAAAAAAAATAGAAATGACATATGGAGTAATTGGTAAGCTGCCTGCTTTTTTTCAAAATCCTTGGACTGCACTGCAGTGATTTGAAAGTTTTCGCCATTAGGGACACAAGCATTCACTGGGAATCAGCTGGTTGAATTCCTAGGCAAAGGTACATACATTATAAAACATTACAATAAAAGTGAAAGACAAATGAATATTTATAGCCAATTAATCA